AGAAATATGTATGAAAATAATTTTTAAAAAAGTTTCAATAGCATTAAACTGCAGAAACAACATAATCACATTTCATTGGAAAATGGATAATTTGAAGGCAAAAGAACATACCTTAGGCAGTGGTTTCTTCTGAGCACAGTTTATACCTCCAATAAAGACCATATTGGGCATCACTGGTCTGGCATACTCAAACACAAAGTCGAATCTCAGAAGCCAAACAGAAGCAGAGTTCAGAAGGTCTATCAGGGTTACATCTCTCTGAAGAACTTTGGAGGAAAACTTTATTGGATCTGCATACAAACCATTACAGTACTCAAGCTCCAAGAGCGAAATCAGTGCATTTTCCACTCTCTGGAAAAATGTCATGCGGTCTGAGTTGAAGGAGAATACTCTTGGGATGTAGGACAGAGGGTTTGGGCACTGTGGTGCTTGGTAGTGTAAGCTGCAAGGAAACCCTCTCATAAAGAACACAAATGGAAGGGAAAAATAATTCGCAACTGTTGCTCCGCACATAAAAAGAGCGTCTGTGAGGATGGCATCAAAGCGGCTTTGATTCAGGTACTGCAGGGTCTCCTTGTGATTGAACAGGTCCTTGCACTGAAGATAGAACTTATTGAAAACGTTCACGGAGCTGTTGTATCTTGCTAGAGCCTTCAGTGGGAAAGGCAAGTTCTTCAGGTGAGCAGCAACGAAGTCTTGAAATGCGTTATCCAGCTCTTCTAATGTGTAGGTCACTGGGTATGTTTTCAGTGTATATATTGGCCGTCTTGTTCTCATCTGCCAGGCTATTTCTGGTACAAGCACCACCACTTCGTGTCCTCTCTCGGCGAGCTTTTCAACCACTTCTTGCATGCTAAGCCAGTGGCTTCCCATCACGGGCACCACCAGGAGTTTCCCCCCATCTGAGAGGCCAGGAAGGAGAAGGATAAAAATCCAGGCACAGGCACAGCAAAGTCTCGAAGTCATGTTCGCGTGGTCAGAAATGTGAAATCAGTCAGGACTGTGACAGTCTTCTTCAGGCAGTAGCTCGAAGATACTTCTGAAGGAAGCCGAACGGTTTATCTGTTGAGCTGTTCTGCTTTGCCATCATCTTCTAGTTAATGATTCACTGCTCTGGGTTGTGGGTTGGTATTGGTGGGTTTTTTTCATTATTTGTAAAGCCAGATTATGTGTAAACCCTTTCCTATGCTGTTTCATTGTGAGTTCCTCAGTGCTCAATGGAGAACCAGCTCCTCAACATGCTGGTCAGATTTCTTAGGATTTCTCTCTTGATCATTGATTACTGTGTCCTGTCTTACACCTTGGCCAGGACCAAGGAAAGCAAGTCTGGTGTGAACTCCAGCATCACCACAGTAACAAACTAAAAGAGCCTCAACAAATTTCATTGTGATTGGAAACATGGATGTTCAGGTAATTTCTCTGAGGACAGAACAGGAGACCCTCAGGGTAAGTGGAAAGGGTAGATGAACCAACTCTTCTGAGCTAGTAGGAA